CACCACTAAGCTCTTTTAATAGCTTTGAGTGTATTCCATCAGGTCCCATTGACTTATTTGTCTTTACTTTTGACAGTTGAAATAGAACCTCTTCCTCTGTAAACTCACGTGTAATAAATGACTCATTTATCCTTTTTCTTAACTGAGGTCCCTTTCCTTCATTTTCATCTGTAAATACAGAACAAAAATATTCATTGAGGCAGCCAGCTAGACCTTTATCCTCTTCTACATACCTTCCTTCTTTTGTTTTTAATCTAACTAATCCTTGTTTTACTTTTCTTTTCTCATTTATGTATCTAAAAAATGTTTTATCCCCCTTTTTTTACTGACTGTGCTATTTTCTCTTCTGTGTGTGATTTGGAAGCTCTTATAACTTGCTTAGCCTCTTTCTGCCAAATCTTATAGATCATTTTGTCTTCCTCACTCTGGGTTTTTTTTATAATTCCTAAATGCTAACTTTTAGTTTTTAACTATTTTGGCCACATCTGTGGAGTACCACAGTGGTTTCTTGAATTTTTTGCTTTTACTGACAAGCCTAATGCAATTTTCTGTTGCCTTCAATAGTGCAACTTTTAAATAATCCTATTTCTCTTGGACTCCATTTAAATTGCTCCAGTCTGATAATGACTCCTCTACCCATATTCTAATTTTAGAAAAGTCTGTTTTTCTAAAGTCTTAAACTTTTGTTTTTGTGTGGTGTGACTCAGTCACTGTTCTTATATTAAACCACACTGACTGATGATCACTGGATCCTAAACTTTCACCTACAGTAATATCTGATACCAAATCTCCATTTGTTAACACTAAATCTAATATGGCCTCTTTACGAGTTGGCTCCTCAACAACTTGTTTTAGAGACAGTCCCAGTAGGGAGTTTAGAATATGTGTGCTCCTGGCACAAGTAGCTAATTTTGTTTTCCAATTTACATCAGAAGGATTAAAGTCACCCATGATGATAACTTCCCCATTCATTGTCATTTTAGCTATTTCCTCAACTAGTAGATTATCTAACTCTTCAATTTGTCCTGGGGGCCTATAAATCACACCTACACGAGTTACTGTGTGATTACCAAATTCTAACGTAGCCCAAACGGACTCTATGTTTGCCTCACTAACTTTTATTAGGCTAGATTTTATGCTATCCTTCACATCCAAGGCCACCCCTCCCCCTTTCTTGCCTTCCCTATCTTTCCTATATAAAGAGTACCCTGGTATTGCTATGTCCCAGTCATTTTTCTCATTGTACCATGTCTCAGTAACAGCGACTAAATCTACACTATCAGTTGCCATTATTGCCACAAATTCATGGATCTTATTCCCTAAACTGCGAGCATTTGTAGACATGACTCTAAGCTTTTCATTTTTTAACACACTTGCTACAGGCACCTTCTGTCCTTGTTTTGGGGGACAATTGGATTGATGTTTTATCGTCCTTTTGCCCCCCCCCCCTCCTCGTTTAAATACATCCTAGCAAAACCTCTGAACTGCTCACTGAGAACATTTGTTCCCTTTTGAGAAAGATGCAAACCATCTTTTTTGTACAGCTTATCGCCATTTGAAACAGAGCTACCATGAGAAATAAAGCCAAATCCTGGCTCCCGACACCATTCACCAAGCCACAAATTAAAGTCCCTGAAAACTGAAATATATTTCTTTATACGGTACAACCTGAGAATACAATGTTCAATTGAATTGGTAAAATCAGTGGCTCCTGAATTCATTTGCTTGGATAATACAGAATATTGCAGAACATTTACTAATAAACCTGTATGAGTTAATTAAGGGTTTAGTAAACCTTATCAATTTACATCTGATAAATTCAAGATTGGAATATTTTACCTCTGATTTGATGACCCTTATTTTGTGTAATCTGACCCCATTACTAATATTAATGGCACTATCCAAGTCTCTGTGATTATGTTTACTCTATAACAAGCCTTATATTGGTATTGAAAATATCTGTTGCATAGCAACAATTTTATAACAAGTAACACGAACTAGTGGAGTTCCCAGAAGGAACATTCTTAAGTTTCTACTACTATGTAAGTTACAAAGAGATCTAGGGTCTCTTTAAAAAAAGTGTATCTGTCAAATGGGCCAAAACACTTGACCGAGATCCAAGTAGATAAAGGAATAGCAGAGACTGCAGTTCTCTGAGAAAAGCCTTACTGAGCTTAGTATACTTATCATGCATCAACAAAGATAAGGCAACAATTCATTTAATTGTTTTTCTTATGTCTTAGGGCTGCCAATTTGACGGTCACAATAACTTGGTCATCTTCCTTGTGAAGATGTCTGCAGATAACAAGATACTCATAGCTGAATACACATACTTAATTTTTTCTTGCACAAACCATTAGCATGCATTTTATTACATTTATTCAACACACATTATGAGTACTATTTTTATCTTTATTACTTAATTCAGAGCTAATATATAAGCATATATTTGGATCCATAATCAAGCTAATACATAACGGTAAAAATAAAAATGAAAACAGTTTCAAACAATAAAGGGATAACTATAAAAATAATTTAAAAAAAAAACAAAACAATACAAAATGACTATAAAGATCTTACAAAACAAAACAGAAACAGCAATTGAATGGAAACCACAACAAACTGACTTTTCTGCATCCAACCTCTGTTCCAAATCTTGACTAATTTGTCAATTAGCGGGACTCTAACCCTCTTTCTAATTATCAGGACTCTAACTCACTATTCTGAGACTGGTAACCCATATTGGGGACTCCAGAGAGTACTATAGACTAATTTCTATTTTGGTCATACTCCACCTCACATAGACCACAAAGTAAAGTTGGCTCTTACCCTTCCCCAGAATCTTACTTCTGATTCCATCTGTTGTGTGAGAGGAATTTTTTACTTGGGACTTGAACCTAGGTACTGCAACACAGGACACAGGTGTTGAATTGCAGATACAAGAGTAAGATTGCAACACACAGAAGTATGTTTCAGAATCACTTTGGTTTATTGAGCATTTGCATATGTAACAGACCTCCCTGTCCCTGGATTTTACAGCTCTTTGTTGTCTTCACCTGTTTGTTCGGTGAAATACATCCACCACATGTTAACTTTGCCCCGTTTGAATACCAACTAATCTACCGAACGACAGACCACCCATATGCGGAGTGTGCTGCTTGATGACTCCATTAACCTCTGCTAACACCTCTGTAACTGCAAGCACCTCAACATTCTAAGCGGTCGGCTGGCTGGTCATCCTTCATATGTGCGAACATGTGATGGTGGCCATCTTGGGACACGAACACAGACAGCGGTGTTTGGTCATTGAGTGTATGGAACTAAAATCGGACACTCAACGGCGCAAACACCGCTAAGACTTTCATACCCAAAAAATGTTTTGCACTATTTATATGAACAAAGTGGCATTCGGTAGAAACATCCCTCGAGCCACAGATACTCTGTGAATATATGCACAAACTATTATTCGTACATAAAGACTGTGTATTTGATATTCCCAAAGAGACCGACCACACAGCCTGATTTCATGGAACTATTTTGGGAAGGTGCCTCGTGTGCGGTCGGTCTAAACTATACCCTGGTGGCATTTCAGCTGCATTTGTGGGATTTGAGCATTTTCAGGATATGTTGGGCGCTCAGACCCAGGCTATCTGGGGATATAAAACTTGATATCTCACTGTTGAATATATATTTTGAGATATTGTTATTATGTTTGTCCTGGACCTGGGAAGTAATGTAATTATGTGTGTTCTTATGTTGCTCTCAGGTCCAGTGGGGAATGCCCCTGGAATGTGTCACCAGAAACCCCTTGCATGGAGACTTGCATAAAAGGCCAGCTGTGGCTCCCATTAAAGCAGTTCCAGTTTTACCCTCAACACGTCTGAGAGCCTCGTCTCATCTCTGTAGGGAACAGCTATTTCACTAAGTTTTAGGATTTTCGCTTTCAGGATTATTGCAGCTCTACTCACACTGGGGGAAAAGGATATCTCTGGTGGCCAAACCCCTCTTCCCATCGGGGTGGCCGCCACATCTGGTGGCAGGGGTGGGATAGTTCTTTTCTCCAGAGGAGAGGCTACAATGGGATCTAAAGAAGGAAGGAGCAGATTGAGAATTGGTACGGACAACTGAAACTATCTACTTTAAAAGATCTGTTGGAAAGCCGCGGCCAAACAGCAAACAATCGCAAGAAAAGGGAATTAATAGCCGAATTGCTAGAAATGACCCGAACAGATGCTTCACTCGAATCAGTTGCCTCGAACGAGGGAGATGTATTACTGCACTCTGTTCGGTTACGGTTTGCATTATATGGGCCAAACCCTCCTGCAGACATTATCATTTAAGTGATGGCCGCCACGGATACTGAAGCCAGAGAGAAGTGTAAGTATCAGCTACATTTGGCTGAGCTTCAACGACGAGAAGACATACCTGCGGAGATGCCTACACCCATGATGGAACAAAAGAAGGTACCCTTTGCTGCTTTTGAAAGTTTCCAGGGAACAGAAGGAGAAATAGATGGGTACCTTGCAGATTTCTAAAGACAATGCGCTTTACACCGGGTACCCACCGACGAATGGGTTACCATCTTGGCTGGGAAATTATCAGGGAGAGCTGTAGACGTGTTCAGGGCTACCCCTGATGAGGAGATCCAGCATTACACTGTTGTCATGGTATCATTGCTCGCCAGGTATGCTGTCACCCCTAAGGCATACCGCCAGGGATTCAGAGAGTCCAAAAAACAGGGGAACGACTTTTACACCGAATGGGCCTGCCACCTCCATCGCACAGCGTCCTACTGGGTGACCGATTTCCAGGCTGTATCCGGAGAGGATGTCCTGCAATTATTTATCTGCATTTCTTCAGTACCCTGTCACCAGACTTCAGAAAATGGATCCGTGATCAGCAACCCTTTACCCTACCCGAGGTGGCTTGCCTCGCTGATGAGTATACAGATGCCCGAAAGTCTGAAGCAACACCTGGCCGGAGATTCAAACTGTGGTATCCTCTCACCCTACCTCTTAAAGGGGACCCCTCAGGCATCAGCCCGCCCCACCAAGAACCAGACCCTGATGCTATAGGTGCCAGAAGATAGGTCACCTCCACAACCACTACCCTTTGGAGCCTCCTCAACAGTCGTGGGGGCACTCCAACAGTGTACCACCCCGTCCCTCAGTCCCGGCCGCTCACTGCTTGGAGACAGAGCCTCATTCGGATGAATACTGGAGAGTACTTCATGAGGCCGACCCCATTCAGCCAGCCACCCAGGACAACATTGACAGATAGTACTGGTGAACGGGCAGACTGCCAAGGGATTACGAGATACCGGAGCTACCCTGACTTTAGTACAACGCCATCTGGTAGAGAAACCTAACACACTGGGCAAACCGTTGAGGTCCGGGTAGCTAGGGGAGCTATTTACCATTTACCCACCGCCTGCGTTCACCTGAATTGGGGAGTCAAATCCGGCCAAGTGAACATGGGTATCATGAAGGATTTACCCACTGAGGTGTTGCTAGAGAATGATTTGGGTCCCTTAACCTCTGCTTATGTACCCCGAGAACGCGCTGAAGCTCAACCTGTCACCACCCGATTACAAGCCTGAACTGCAGAAGCTGGCCCACTTGTCACAGAGACCCAGGTAAGAAACCAACACCTGACTGTACTTATAGACCTGAACCCGTTAGGCTGGGATACCCCAGAGGAGTTTGGGAGGGAAACCCGGGAGGATCCTAAGCTCCACAAGTATAGGGCCAAGGCAGAGACTAACGAAGGGGGATTGGAAGGGGAACATTTTGTTTGGGAACAGGATAGGTTGTACCATTTAACTGAGACCTCTAAGGGTGGTACTACCACATCCCAGAAGCATCAGCTGGTTGTGCCCAGGAAATACCGGATGGAGCTTCTCCGGATTAGGCACAATGTACCCTTAGCAGGACACCTAGGAATACGCCACACGTTCCACAGGGTAACCCAGAAATTATTTTGGCCAGGAATCCATGGGGACATGTGACGATACTGTAAGACCTGTGATACATGTCAACGGGTAGGTAAAAGTGGGGGGGACCACCCCAAGACCAGATTGCTGTCCATGTCCATTATCAAGGAGCTCTTAGCAGATGATCTTGTGGGAACCCTAGCTAGACCCAGTCCATCCGGGAAGAAGTATATTTTTACCGTAGTGGACTATGCCACCCGCTGACCCGAGGCAGTGGCCCTCATGAATATTCATGCCGAAACCATGGCAGATGCACTGATAAAGATATTCACCAAGGTAGGGTTTCCCAAGGAAATCCTTTCAGATCAGGGGACCCAGTTCACCGCTGACCTAACTCAGCAGCTTTGGAAAGTCTGTGGTATTAAGCCTCTATTAAGCTCACCCTACCACCCCCAGACTAACAGTGTATGGGAGTGCTTTAATGGTACTCTCAAGCAGATGTTGAAAACCTTCACTGACGCTTGCAGAAACTGGGACAGATTTCTGCCTCACCTATTATTTGCATATCGAGAGGTGTTTTTTCCCTTTGAGTTACTATATGGGAGAAGGGTACAAGGTCCCCTTTATCTCATTAGGGAACACTGGGAGGGGGAACTGGAACATGAGGGACCCCATCGTACTATGCTAGAGCTCCAAGATCAGTTGACCCGCATGGTAAAGGAAAACATCCAGGCGGCTCAGGGGCAACAGAAAGTCTGGTGCAATTGAGGTGCCTGGCAGCGTACGTTCCAGATGAGAAAAAAGGTTTTGGTATTAAAACCAGTCAGACAAGATAAATTGCAGGCAGCATGGCAGGGGCCCTACCAAGTGATAGAGCAACTCTGCGACACCACTTATGTAGTTGCCAGTTGTGCCGATGAAAGGATCCAAAGGTCCTTTCACATAAATATGTTGAAAGAGTATCAGGAAAGGCAGGAGGATATAGCTGTAGTATGTGCCCACACTACAAACGACCCAGACAGCCTCCCCCTGCCTGATCTCTTAGAACACGAGCCCCAAACTGATCTCATTAACCTGGTAAAATTGGGAGATTAACTTAAGCTTATAGCTTAACGTCTATAGAGACAGAGCAAGCCAGACAGTTATTGACCGAGAAACAACTAACATTCTTGCAGGAACCAGGGTACACCACGCTAGCAATCCCCAAAGTGGAAACCCCCAGTCAAGCCCCACTTAGGCAACCCCCTTACCATATCCCTGAAGCAGTCCGGGAGGGAATGCCGACATCCCCTGGGCCTCGCCTCTAATCCTCGTGCCTAAGAAGGACGGAACCACACAATTTTGCATGGACTACAGGCGACTGATGACCAGATCACCACAGACGCTTACCCGATGCCCAGGGTAGACAAATTATTAGATCGCATTGCCAGGGTATGTTATCTGACCACCATAGACCTATGTAAAGGCTATTGGCATATTCCCCTGGCCGAGGAAGCTATCCCCACGTCAACCTTTGTTACCCTGTTTGGTTTGTACCAATTTAGGGTCATGCCATTCAGTATGAAAAATGTACCAGCTACCTTCCAGCGTATGGTAGATAAACTCCTCTATGGCTTCCAGGATTTTGCTTGTGCATACCTGGATGACATTGCGATCTACAGTGAGTCCTTGGAGGAAAACTTGGTTCATGTAGGGGTGATACTGAATAAGAATCAGGCCACAGGCCATACTCTGAAGCCGGACAAGTGCCAACTAGCAGAAGTCCAATACTTGGGACACCGTGTGGAGTGTGGGAAACAACGGCCAGAGCCTGCTTAGATTGAGGCCGTAGCAAACTGGCCCACACCTCATACCAAGACTCAGGTATTGGCCTTTTTAGGGACTGCAGGGTATTACAGGCATCTAATCCATGACTACAGTATGGAAGCTAAACCTCTGACTGACCTGACCAAGAAGAATTTACCGAGGCAGGTCCTGTGGTCTCCGGCCTGTGAAGCCGCTTTCCAGTCCCTCAAACAAGCATTAATTAATACCCCTGTCTTGGCTGCCCCAGTCTCTAACAAACCTTTTATTGTGCACACAGACCATGTTTGGACTGGGGGCAGTTTTGAACCTAGTCAGAGAGGATGGATGAGAACACCCTAATGCGTATCTTAGCAGGAAATTATTACCAAGAGAAGTGAGCTAAGCAGCAGTGGAGAAGGAATGCTTGGCGCTGGTTTGGGCGCTAATGAAACTGACTCATTATCTGTACGGGCAAGAGTTTACCCTCATCACCGACCACAACCCATTGGTCTGACTTAACTGGGTCTCAGGGGATAATGGCCGATTGTTACGGTGGAGCCTGGCCCTGCAACCCTACAACTTTACAATTCACTATCTGCTCAGTAATCAGAATGGCAACGCCAATGGATTGTCCCGGCAAACAGAGCTCACCAACCTCAGTTAAATCCAGAAATCCCCAAGTTGACCTAAAAAAGGTCAAACCGGGTCTCCCGGGAGTGTTCCACAAGGAGGGAGCAATGTGACAGACCTCCCTGTCCCTGAATTTTACAGTTTTTTGTTCACTTCGCCCGTTTGTTCGGTGAAATACATCCACCACATATGTTAACTTCCCCGTTCAAATACCAAATAATCTACTGAACGACAGACCACCCATATGCAGAGTGTGCTGCTTGTTGACCCCATTAACCTTTGCTAAGACCTTCATACCCAAATATGTTCTGCACTATTTATACGAACAAAGCGGCATTCGGTAGAAACAGCCCTCGAACCACAGATACTTTGTGACTTGAATAAAAGGCCAGCTGTGGCTCCCATTAAAGCAGTTCCAGTTTTATCCTCAACACAGAGCCTCGTCTCATGTCATTTCACTACGTTTTAGGATTCTCGCTTACATGATTATTGCAGCTCTACTCACACTGGGGGGAAAGAACATCTCTGTCGGTGAAACCCCTCTTCCAATCGGGGTGTCCTCCACAGCATATATATAGGTCAAACAGGAGAAGATCTTCAACTCTAAAACATATAAAAAATATTATTTGCTATAAGGTTTATGCATAAAAAAGATTGTAGACAGAAACAGAGGCCAAAGACAAGCTGTTTTGTAACAGTTTCCCCTTTGCAGTTAGCTGGATATGCACAGGCAGGGAGACAAAAAGGTAAAAACTGAAATTTGAACAGAAATATAACATAAAAACAGACATGAATTTAATAATTGATGTAAAGCATAATATGAAAATAACCCCTTCATGTAAACATTTGGTGCCATGCTTTCCAGGCCATCTGACTCAGGTGTGGCTATATCTCGAAAGATCTTTGGCAAAAGTGAAGATTTTGATGAACAAGAGCTGCTTGGCCATGCCCCGGGTTTTGTTTATTAGCTGTGGACATTTCCTGTAGTTTTTCTGCTAGCTCTCTATATTTCTTAAGGTGGTAGTCTTTCTGGTTGATAAAACCACCTTTAATACACACCTTACATGCTAGCCATATGGAGGGAATAGAAACATCCTCATAATCATTATGTTCATAGTAAAGCGTGGGTTCATCTCTAATGTTTTGAACTATAGAGGGATGCAACAAGATCCAACAAGAACATTTAATGTTAGATGAGTTACAAAGAATTTGTGATGGTTCTGGAAAGAAGAGAGCATGTATAATTATAGATAAAGATCGACATTCTAAATTCCCATTCCAATTAGAAAAAGAATAGTGATCCATTTAGAATGTTTAAATAATTGTATAATGCTTACTTGAAGTTATGTGGTAGAAAGTACAGTATAGCAATCTGCAGTCGGGAGTTTACAAAGCAGGATCCCTAGGCAAAGGATTCTATAGCAATGATTAAAGTTAGAGACAAAATTAATGACAGTGGTTAGCAATAAAATTTGTAGAATCAAATATGGTACAGAGATGTTAATCATGCACCATAGATAGAGCATGAGGAAATTGAACCACAAGCATGATTGCATCCATTAAGACAAAGTTACAGTTTGCATAGGAAATCTAACCATACCTCATGCAACTTTATTGGCATACATCACTTCTGATAGCTTAAAGGCAAATGGTTATGACATCCTTTAGGATGAGAGTGTATTACAGCTGGCATCTCACCAACTTCTTTTCCTGCACGTGTAACTTTTCGTGTTGTCATTCTTTGTTTGTTCACCTGTTATACACTGTGGAATAAAAACAGCAATATAGTACTGAAACACATAATTAAGGTTTATCGTTTCACACTTATTTTGTTTTTAGTGAAAAAATAATGACTCTCTTTCTCTTTGTCTGTCTTTCTCTCTCACTCCTTCTCATGCACACATATATGAAGGCATGCTTGAGCATACATATACACATACACAGACTTTTTCTTGAGTTATCAATATCTCAGGAATTATGGAGATTTTTAAAATAAATGTTGCCCTGCAAGATGAAGCTTTCATAACAAGTCATAATCAATGGATATGATAATAGATTTCCCTTCAAATAAGTATTAATAAACTAATAAAGACACTTCTGCATTCAACATTGAGTAAGAGGGGAAAAAAAACTGAACTGAAATATATAATATAAGATATTTTCTGTGTCAACAAAGTAAACTGTAGAGCATTTGATATGATTCATGTTCCTGTAATCATGCAAATAATGTATAACGCTTTTATAGAAATTGCTATGCATCTGCACACTCCATTTAGGTTTGCCACGGCAAAGTGAAACTATTATTTATGATTGCTTCAAAGCTTCACTCAGTATATAATTTCCCATAATATGTATCATTAATCTGTAAAATGCAGTGAACCTTACAAATATTGAAGTGACAATATTTTTTGTATGTCACAAAATGAGCAACCAGATTTGCAAAATAAATTTGGAAGAAAATATGTCACAGGAGATGGTTATAAATTAAAGGATACACATTAACAATACTGTTATTTATATACAAAGAAAAATATGAAACACTTAAGCCAAACATTTTATATGTAAATTGTGTATTCCAGGCTCTGAATTAAAAACTATATAATATTAAAGGCTATTGTATACCATCAGTCATTTTAACTTTTTATATAAAGCTTGAAAAAGTATGACCATGACAATTGTAGCTAGTGAGCAAGTGACACAATGCTATGTTGCATGGTAAGAGCAGAGGAACATATACGCTCATTCATTTGTCTAATGTTCTCCACCCTGTTATGACATCCAGCAATGCTTGGGAAATAAGATTTTACTGGCAAGTGACTAGGAGTGTTTCAGACCCAAGATAAGTTCAACTTCATATAGTTTTTGAGCAGGTATAGTGTATGATACAGGACTATATCCACTGATTGTGTCTCAATAATTCAGAGTATTAGAGATCTATTGATCAGAAAGTATTTACTGTGGACCAAAACCAACACTGGTGCAAGACAAAAATAGCATTTATTAGGTGTAGAATGGTTAAATACATGCATCCTGCTAGAGGTCAGATAACATGTTCGAGGAAGTTTGCACAGAACTATCTGGTATTTTTTTAACCTAGAGTACGTTTGTGTGTAAGAGTAGAATCTCAAACCATTATTCATGGGATCTAAAAAAGATAGATGACTGGGCTCATTGATCCTGCGACTAAATAGGTTACTGTTATTCTTAGCCACTGCTATGTACAACATTAACCACAGTGTTACTTACACAATCTGAGATGAAAATATGTGGAGATATATTAATCTTGATATATTCATCTGGAGATGAATATATTCTGTCTAATAGTTTAATTGATCCTAGGTTGAGACTGGTGGTCAAGTTACTGCTGCCCCTAGCTACTGACACATACTACATACACCAATTTTAATAACCCAGAAAGTTGATATCACTTAAGAAAACAAATGTAAGTGCAAACAAATCAAAAAGCTGCAATCACCTAAAGTGACAAAGCGCGTTGCGCTTTAAATCATTTTTTTTTTATAATTCTTTATTTTTTAAGTGCATGCGTTAGTTAACATGAACAGTTGTCAGTATAAAGCGTCAAGATCACATGGTTACATATAACAACGGGAACATTAGGTTATGTTAGCTTGTCTGTACTAATTTTTAATATATCAGGCTGTTATCTCCCTAAGCAAATCAGAGGAGGGCATAAAAGGTTTAGTTGGTCTGGTGGGTGAGTGACATTTGGTGAAGCCTAGGTTGGAGGGTAAGTTTGCGAGAGGTTGTGCTGCAAGAGTGAACAGGTGGCTATCGCATAGTGATGAAAAATTATGTATGCTCATGTTTATTTTTCTGCTACCTTGGGAGTATTGGGAGGAGAGGGTTAAATCTCACTTAAAAAGATAGTAATTTAGCTCTGTTAGTAGACCAACATTTATCTACCTGTAGTATAGCCCTGTATACCTCAGTGCCCTCACTGTGCAGGCATAAACAGTAGGAACAAAAGAGTAATGAAGAACAAAACAAAGACAAAACAATATGTTGACCATTAACTGTAGCACAGTTCCAGGTGCACGGATCCGGTGTGTCGGCATGAGTCCTGGGTAAGACCCATGTAGTCAGGTCCCGTGTGTGTTGTAGCCTCTAGGAACAAAGGTTCGATGTTGGACGGGTCCCATAGTCTGTCAGGGATTCTAGCACATTCGCCTACTACAAGTTGTGGCAGCCCCAATGCCTCTAAGAACGTATGAGTATCAGACTTGGAAATCTTGATAAATATACAAAAGGATAAAACCTTATTTTGTTTCTGATTTTGTATGAAAGGTTTAACATAAAGGTAAAAAAAGAAAAGAACAAAACACAAAACAGGGCTAATTGCTATTGCCCCTGTATGCAGTTGTCAAGTCACTCAGTGTTGGAATAATACCCAAGCAGGCATTGCACTGGGTGTTTTAAGCAACCAATAATCTAGGGTGCCTTATGGCATCCCATCAACTCGTGCAATAGCCTGGTCTCTGACCGGTCGTTCCCCATCACATTGGAGTGAGAGGAGAGGAGGGGGCAGGAGCGGAAGGGAATGAAAGAGAAAGAAAGAAAAAAAAACAAATGAGGGGAATAGAGGGGAATATGAATTAATAATAAAAAATATAATGTAGTTTGCGGGAGTGGTAATGGAAGGTGGGTGGGAAAGATCAAGTAGGTAAGGTGATTATCTCGAGCCACCAGTTGCATCCCATCTGTCTTAAGTATTTCCCCTACTCTTTACCCCGAATTTACTAACTATTGAGAGTGTTAAGTACTAATGTAGGAGTAATTGAAAGTCAGCCGAGTTCAAGTTGAGCAGCCAGTGAGTCCAGATATCGAAGTATAGCTAGATTCTTTCACTGGATTAAAAGATGAGTTCCTCCATAGAGCCTAGCTTCATAGAGTGATAGGCAGGACAGTTTATTTTTTTCCAAAAGAGTGGTATCAGGCTTTTAGCCACATTCAGGATTCTGATTTTGAGGGATTCTTTTATATACAGATTACCTCAATTTAGTGTGAATTAGTAGTAGTGGGACTGGGCAGAAGGGTGGTGGTGCATCTGAGAATTTTTGGATAATCGTGTGAATTTTCCTCCAAAATGGGTGAATCCTGTCACAGTCCCACCACAGGTGAAGGAGGGAGACAATTTCCTGTCCACACCTCCAGCATCTCTCATCAATCGTTGGTGTGATCGTATGTAGTAATTGGGAGGTTTTGCACCAAAAGGTAAAAAAATGATAGGCATATTCCTGTATTTTGTGTAAGTGTTGTACAGTGTTGTGTAACATCGCAT